AATTAGCTATAAAGGTTATAAAGTATTTATATAATACTAAAAACTTAGCTATTTAAATTAACAGAAATTTAATACTAGAGCTATCTATATTAGCAGATGCAGCTTATGCTAATAATAAAGGCTTTAGAAAATTAATATAGAGCCTTCTAATTTAACTATTTAAGGCCTTTATTATTTAGTTAGCAACTAAACAAGCTACTATAATAACTTCTTCTATAGAGGCTGAATTACTAGCTATTTTAGCTATTGCAAAGGAAACTATAGCCTTTTTAAGGCTTATAACTTAACTAGGCCTAAAATTAGAGGCTAAAAAACCTACTATATACTATAATAACCTACAAACTATAAGGCTAGTTACCCTAGACCTTTCTAGAGTTAAAACAGCTTTAAGGTATATTAATATATATAACGCCTAGATAAAGCAGGCTTATAAAGAAGGAAAATTTAATATAAAATACTTAAAAACCTTAGAAATACCTGCCGACAGCTTTATAAACGGCCTTATAAAACCTCTTATAGAGCAAAAATTCTATAATTTTAAATAACAGCTAGGCCTATTTAATATTAAAGGCTTTATTTTAGCTAAAGAAGCTATTAAAAATTTAATAGATTAGCTATATAAGCTATATCTACCTCTTATATTTATTTATTATTTAATATTTATTATCTATTTTTACTTATTTATCTATCTTTATTGCTTATTACTCTATCTTTTATTATCTATTTATTATAACTTACCTAGCTATATTTAATATATAGCTAAGGGGGTATATTAGCAGCAGATACTTCCTACTATAAAAAATAACCTATAATACACCTATAAAAACAAAGGGAAACAGCTATAATATACAAATTACCTATAAGAAACATTTGCATGCATTTTGTATATAAGAATTTAATATACTTTACGCTTATATTTCTTTATATATATAAATAAAGTTAAAAGAGGAATGCTAGCTGGAATTTAATAAAAAGACTAATAAGCTATAAAGGCTAATCTACTTTATAG